TTATTTTACAGTTAAAATAAATGTTTATCAAATAAAGTCTAATGTTACAACTAACCAGGGATCCCTTTAAAGCATGAAAGGTGTCGTGGTTCTCAGTTTGTGGGAAGAAAATAAGAAATGAATCTTGTAGCAAATCAACTGGGCGTTTCTTTCTTTTATTACGCTCCTTTGTGATTGGGAGCAGCTTCAGGTTTGTGCTGAAAGTCAGCAATTAGCTGGTAAAACCTCCGAGAGAAGAAGTGCAGTGAGGGAGAGGAGGGAGACGAAGTCAAATACTTGAGTGTCAGTTTTCTCTCAAACTGCTTTCATCCCCAGCAGCTCCATTTGAACATCAAAGCTCCATCAGCCCAACAGACAGCAGTTACTAAAACAGTGGAAAAGAGGGAATCGTCTCTTGTTTGTGCATCCGCTGTGTGCAGCGTGTGATGTGCTTCCATAACGCTCTCCCTGTGAGTCTGTGTTGCTCCATGTTCCAACATCACAAACACAACAACGCCATCAAACAGGCTCGATGCCTCCTCTGATCTCCCATCATCCAACCTCACGCTCCTCTCCTTCCAGCCTCCCTCCCCCTCCAGTGTCCCTCTGCTCCTCTCTTCCAGCCTCCCACTTTCACCTCCTTCTCCTCCATCTTCTCTTTCTCTGGCAGCCACTTGCAGTTTCTCCTGGTGATGGGCCAAAGCTTGACTCGCCTCTTCCTTCTGCTCCTGCTGGTCTCCTGCATCCCCAGACTCTACAGGCGTCACGCCAGACCCCCCCACCCCCATCACCATCTCACCATCCAACCATCAAATCTTTCATCTCTCTTTTCTTCATCTCACTCAGCTATCTTATTCCATGGAAATTTGGATTTCTGATTTTTATTAGAACGATGTCGAGCCATGAGACCATCTGAAAAGTACAAAAGACGATTACTACTACGATCCTTTTTTTCCCCTGAATTCTGATTTTAATCTCAGAACTTTACGACAAAAATGAAAAATACTTTTTTTCTTGTTCCAAGGCACCAAAACAGTTCTGTAGAAGAAAACTTCCTCCTGATGCTGAATTCTGGCTTATTTTTCAAAATTCTAACTTTTTCTCAGAAATAATTTTTTTTATAAAGCCCTACACTGCAAAAACTGTCCATCTTACCAAGTTTTAAAATCTTATATCAGCCAAAAAAATCTTTTTCATCTTGTTTTAGACTGATTTACTAAACAAGAACTGATTGTGTAAAAATAATAATCTTGTTTTCAGAATGTGTAAGATTATTTGTCTTGTTAGTCTGAAAATTTGACTCAAATTAAGTCAAAACTTTCTGCCAGTGGAGTAAGAAAACTTTACTTGGTAAGATTCTTAAACTGAATGATTTGACTCAGTCTTTCTTATTTCAAGAATCTTACCAAGTAAAACGATTCTCTTGCCAAATTCTGACTTTTTTCCTCAAAACACCAGGAGGAATGTCTCAAAATTCTGAGACGTTATTCTCAGAGTTTTAAGAAAAATATCAGAATTCTGAGATTAAAGTCAGAATTCAGGGGGAATTTTTTTAATTTTATTTAATAGTTTTGTGACGCTAATCCTCTTCCGTACAAATTACATCACAAGTACTTAAGGCCCTGTCACACTAGACTACTTATGCCAAATTATGAACATTTTAAAGATGTTTACATTGAAGATGGAATTGAAAAAAAAAATCAACAGGAAGCTTCTTTTTGGTGTGCACATAATGTAATTCAAACAAATCAAATATTTAAGTTTTATTAGCAATTTAGACATAAAAAGGTTTCATAAGTTGGCATAAGTTGTATAGTGTGACAGGGCTTTTACATTGATTTATTAAGTGTAATTCAGAACAATATAAAATTGATGATCCTCTTTAGTTACATCATTCTTTTAAAATCAGATTTATCCAATTTCTCCCATTTTTCCAAAAGTTTTTGCACATCAAGACTTTTGACTTTAAATGATGAGACCTTTAGCTTGTTGACTCATTAATAAGAAAGGCCAGACGGTGCCAATCTCAAGGCTTTGTGAATATGTTAAAACTTTCTGAGCAATAAGCAGCCAAACAATAAAAAAGAAAAAAAAATCAAACAAAAGAAACAAATCTTTTGGTTGTCATTATTTCCACCAAACATTAAAATCAAGACGGGGAAATAAAAGTAAAATGAAACTGAGTGTGATGCAAACATTCAGTATTTAATGAAGACATTTTTTGATTAACTTTAAGTGTTTTTGCTTTTTTCCCAAACCTTTGCTTCTGAAGGGTATCTTCGTGCTGAGCTTGCCCTTTGCCCTGGTCCACTCAGGGTATGTGGGTCTGGTCCTGCTGGTTCTGTCAGCCTGGGTCTGCAACCACACAGGGAGGAGCCTGGTGGCCTGTTTGTATGAAGAGGTGCACAGGTAGTGATGTTAAACATCAGTGTGGAAGATTTGATACGTTATATTCCAGTTTATCATCATCAGTGTGGGCTCCTGTCGTAGTGAAGGCTCCAGGTTGGTGTCGAAGGTTCGAGTCCGACACAGCTACCAGGATATTATGAAGGCTTGCTGCAAAGGACTCTGTCCAAACTGGTCAGACGTTGGAGGCTGGATGATTAATGCAGCTCAGGTGACAAAAAAAAAAAAAAAAAAAACAGGAAGTTCTTCACTTTAAATGTTTGGCAATAATCACCTGATCAAACCATTCAAGAATATTTTACAAACTTCTCAAACTTAGAGCATCTTGTTCATTTGTGACGAGTCCAGTGATGACGTGAAGGTTTCCGGTGCATCTCTCTCTCTCTGCAGGTCATTGAGCTGCTGATGACCTGCACCCTGTACCTGCTGGTCTCCACCACTCTGCTGTGTGACAGCCTGTCAGGAGCGCCTCTTCCCAGATCAGTGTGTTCTCTGGTGTCTCTGCTGTTCCTTCTGCCCTGCCTGCTGCTCACTGATCTCAGACCCGTCTCTGTCCTCAGCCTGCTCTGCTCCCTGGCTCACATACTCATAAGGTGACGGAGCAAAACATTTAAAAAAATCCCACTGACAAAGTATCGAGGCTGAGTGAGACTGACTGCAGAGCTGAAACATGGGTAGAAATGAACACTGTTTAGACTAAAGTCAGAATATATCCAAACCACAAAGCAACTGCAAAAAACTGACTTTGAGCAGGGCCGGTCCTAGACTATTTGGTGCTCTGGGCAAGATTTCAGGCAGTGCCCCTTGCGCAATTTGTCTAAATCTCACTGCCAATTTACACACTGCAAAAACTGTCCATCTTACCAAGTTTTAAAATCTTATATCCAGCAAAAAGTCTTTTTGACCTTGTTTTGAGACTGATTTACTAAACAAGAACTGATTGTGTAAGAATAATAATCTTGTTTTCAGAATGTGTAAGATTATCAGTGTGCATTGCCAGTGCAATGCACACTATTGTGATTCGTTTCCCATCCAAGTCATCTCCACTTT